ACACGAGAGCGATCACATAACCTCCTCCACTCCGTGGGCGGAGGTAATAACGGTAAGTGTCGTAAAAGTGAGGAAAACATGAGACTGGTTGGAAATTATATTCGAAATAAAGGTTTTAACAATCTGCATCAAGCTACAGCCAGAATGTAACGTTTTTCGTGGAATCAGATGGCCGAGAGGAAAACCCACTGACACGAATAAGACACGGATATGCAACAGGTTAAACTTGACAGAAGCAGTTGCTATACGTGTGGACGAGTGGGTAGTGAAGCATTCCTAATAAAGCACCTCGCATGTTGATCCCCTTAGCTCAGGATGCAACAAGAACTACACTAGCAAGTTCTAATAAATTTACATCTACGTGTGAATACTATTTCTCCAGTTTACCTTGCCAGACTGGTTGGGCCAAAAGTATGGGGGGAATGGAAAGAGGACAATTTTATTCCATGTCGATATCTTCTTTAGAGTAACGCATCCACTTATCACAGCCTACGTGTTACGATCAAGCTTACTCCGCATCAACTTCGCATACTCTCGACTCGTTCCCAAACTGAAACAACATACCTGCTTTGCAGCCTCAAATATCTCGCCCTCGGCGTGACGAGGCTTCTTCAGCTTCTGTCTGCGGAAGAATTCGTCGTTAATGTTTTCCGGCACGTTCACATCGCTGACGTCGATCTTGGTCTTGGTCGCGATGACGTAGATCTGGTTGATTCGTCTCAGCGGGCAGCCGTTCAGCTTGAACGGACCTGTAAGCAGCAATACAACGCATGGCCATGAATGATGGTGTATACAGGGTTTCTTATACATAAGAGGCACAGTGGTGCACCGCCGTTGTCAAATTTAACATCACCGTTGTGAAAATGCTCATGTACCATACCTACTGTAACCATTTTTAACATTCAAATTTTTTTAACTCCCCATCGAGAGGGGGACTTCCCCCTCTCCCCGCGTGTCTGCCTGCAGCATCCGCATGCGTGCCTACGTCACGTCTTTAAATCCATCATGCGCATTTTCCCCCAAACTGGCCATTACCTCCGTTGTCTAATTTCCCCTCGGAAGAAACCCTCGTATAGCGAGCTGCTTCACTCACACTGTGAAGCAGAACCTCCTTATCACATCACTACACCGCATAAGTTAACAATAACATCATTTTTCACCACTCTGATTCCTATGCATCTTCTCCGGACTGTATATATAGACTCCCATAGGAGTCTATATTACACACTCCTGATATTATCATGGGTTTGCCACGATGGAGGCGCGTGGGCAGGGGTGATGCCCAGGCACTCAGCGTCGTTGACCGCTGCCGGCTAATATAAACGAGTCGGTTATCTACGTCCCGGGCATCTTATTTAAACAAGGAGCGCAGAGCGTCTGGGCTCATCTGACCGGTCTGTTGCTACCCGATTAATTAAACGCTAAATTTCAGTCGTGCGTTAGTACCCAACATTTGTAGGCCGCAGATATGCAGACACGCAGTTGCCCGTACACGGATCATTTGTTAGGACACGCCCACCCGTATTCCGCAGAATGGAGGCGTAGGGGGATGGTGCTGGGGGGAGCGGGGTGGGGAAGGGGCGGCGGGCGAGGGTGGGAGGGGGAAGGGCGAGGGCGTGGGGGGAGGGGGGTCTAATAGCAAAAGCAGTGTCCACTCCTTTGTCGTAACACGTCAGACAACCATGATTTAACCCCCCTTCTTGAGAGGTCATCAAACAGGGTTACTCCGACACTTACCTCGCTTCGCATGTCAGGCAGCCAGGGCGACATTCATGGGTCTGTTCGACTTAAAGCCATACAAAGATGCCATCAGGACGTCACCGCATGAACACAAAACAAGTTTTTTCTGAATCGCGTCGCTCAGACCATGTCCTCATGAACACATGTCTAAAATTTGCCCTGGTTGCCATTGAACCTCTTGACCTGTTTGACCTCAATTTCGCGGTCACGGCAGTGGATGGCTTTTCGTACCATGCTGCTTACTACACCTGACTATCACGCGGAGCCTTAGGGGGTTCGACGCCGTTTTACGATATTTGTGCGCGCCAATTCTGCCATTTCCTTCGCCTTATACCTTAAGTTTAATGGACGTCGAATGGCTTCCCTCTGTCGTCCTTTACACCTCTGTCGACTGTGACCTTTGACCCAGCTCTCGACCATCCAACCTCGTTTTGACGATCCCCCCCCAACGACCCCGAATATCGTGACCGTAACCGTTCGCAGCGGTTTTAAGAGATTTGTGCCAAACTGTTGTACGGACGGCACGCGGCCGTGACGGCCGCGCGCACGCCCGACAGGCGCGGCACGCAACGCGACGGGGCCGCACGGCACCGCACCGGAAAACCACGGACCACCCCCAACGATCATGGCGATTCATACAAGCTGCACTCTTGCACTATGTCAGATGAGTAACAACGCAATCACCGCCAAAAAAAACGCCAAAAACCGGAACTCGCCTAGAACTCCACATACACTGTACTGGCTCCTCTGTCGTCCCAATTATGCTTTCCTGGAACTGACCAGCCAGGTCTGACAGGACACTCGCTGCACCAACTTCAGGCATTAGCCTGGCTATCCATGTTTAATCCAGTCAGCCACACACAATATTTCCGCTCACACAACCTCATCACCACACATTGCACTGTATTTCCTCTCTAATTCTATGGTAATATCCAAGCTCGCTCTGTAATGGTAATCTCAAGATATTCGCCCTTCTGTTCCTCTCTCCAACCCCCGTTCGTCTGTTGTCAGTCCGTGCACTATATTAGGCGCGCCCGCCCTTCTTCTCATGCCTTCAGAATGCCACCATAGCAAATCTCGCGTTCCCCCCCCACGACCCCACGACCACA